TAAACATACTGATAAAGAACTGAAGGTAGCGTTTATTTATTTGCTCTGTTAGCATTAGTATAAAAGCCATTCTAGTATTTAATTTCGGTAGTTTAGTGTTATTCTGCTACTTTTCTTTTATTATATTTTGTCTTATTTTTCCTTATATGTATTATTGATATCGTGTTAAAGCAGTTTGTTAGTTACTGTCTTACATATCTCGTATATTCTCTTGTTAGCACTAACAAATAAAAATGGTGTTTAGTACCTAACAAACTGCATAGATTTTTAAATAATTTTTAACTTAATTTTTAGTGCTTTATCATCGAAAAATGTTTTATTCTTTGCCAACAGAAACAAAACTTGATATTTTTAAATGTCTCAGCTATAAAGAATTGTGTTCAATCAGTCAGACAAATATTTGTTTCCGTGATTTTATTAATTATTTTGAGAGGAATCTTGCTCGACAGAAATTATTTAAAATCTCAATTGTAACGTTAATTAATTAATTTATTTTATCTTTAGATAATTTTAAGGAATATTTCGATCAATCCGAAGAATATCCTCATAAATTAATTAAACCTAAAGCTGAAAATCTTAACTTTCCATTGAATAATGAACAATTTGAAGGGAAGGTAATTTAAAATATTTCCTTTATTTTCAAAATCCCTCTACTTTTTAGTTGAAAAATGGACTAGAAAAACCAATTTCCTTATATTTGCCTGATCAATTTTTAGTCAACAATATTGATATTTGCTTAACTGAAGGTAGATTTTTTATGCGGACTGTATAAAATTAAATGTTTTTTTAGCTAAAAACGATGAAACCCCTTATCGTCTACAATTGCCAACAATTATTAATACTAAAGAAGACGTCACAAATATTTATTATTATTTAAATAAATTATTTAATTGTTTTGAATATGGCTACTTTGAAGAATTTACATTCAATCCAGAAGCGATCGAATTATTATTTGGAAATGCCAAGCAAGTTTATATTCAAAAAGCTTGGCTGCTTATGGATTACTACAGTATTGAAAATAAATTTCAATTTATTTTGAATCATCTAATTGTCAGTGATTTACTTAGAATTAATTTTGGTCGAAATATAGACACAACAGAATATACAGATATTTTATTTAAAATTTTAATGAGGGGAAACAAGTTTAATGAAGTTTGCTTAAAGGCATGTAATTTGCAAAATCTTTTTGATATTATTACAAATGTAAGTTTTTATGGTTATTTTTGCATTATCTTTGTAGGAGTTCAGACATGATTACCTAAAAACCTCCCGGTAATTTTCTAAGCCTGTTTTGATCCACTTTTCAAACTTGCCGAATTAGTATAAGATCACCTTCTATAATCTTACTTTTTTTATTTGTAACCGTCATTAAAGAGGGCATGCGTACCATGAGCATTTAGCGTCCCTTAAATAATATAAGCATCCCATCAGTGTATATACGTCCCAAAAATAGAGTATGATATATAAGCATCCCAAATATATAAGCTTACCAGACGCTTAAAAGCTCGTGGGCCTCATGCCATAAACTAGGGTCAAATATTTTTGAAGAACCTATTTAGATTATTTTTTCTTTCAATTTTAGCATATTGAAACGTCAAAAGATTGCTCAAAAATGGTGGCTAAGATTGTATTGAATAATCGTTACATTAATTTTGCTATTGTAAATGATAGTGCTGAAAAAGTTGAAGATTATTTCCATCTTCCAAACATTTATAATCCAAAAATTAAATTCTCTATCTTATATAGTTCACATTTGAAAAAATTAACAATTAAACGACTTTAATGTTAAATCTTCTTTGCTAATTTATATTAACTAGAGCCGCCCGGAATTTTTTAATTGGACATTTCCGGAATTAATTATTCTCGCCTAATCTTTTTCAGTATGAGTTCCAAATCAAACTACCGATTTCTGGGCGGTTTCTAAGAGAATTAATTGATTAGATTGTTTTATATTTTGCTTTTTTGATAAACATATTTTTTTCCTATTTTTCAAAAATTTGTTAATTAAAATTGGGGTCAACCCTCAATAAATACAGATTACTCAAAATTGGTAACCAGTGTTCATAAGCTCGTACCAAAATTCGTACTCGTACCTTGGCACGAAGTACGAATACGAGCAAAGCTGAAATTTATGAACACTGTTGGTAACTAACATTAAATTAGATAGTATTTATTTTAATATGGCTTGTCTAATTGAAGCACTTAGTAATTATTTTAACTATTTACATATTTCCGGAATGGATTAATGGGCGAATCTAGAAAACCAATTTTTCAAATAAACATCGCTTATACTTTAAAAATCGTTTAAATTTTTTGTTTCTTGATAATTATTAGTTTAAAATTTTTTTTTATTTTTGCCAATCTATTTGTTGAAATTTATTAAATTAAAAGTATTTTTTGCTAAACATTTTTTTCTGTTGGCATTCAACCATAGGATTAAATACAATCTTCTAAATTTCCCTCTATCATTTGAAAGTTAACATTTAATATAAAAAATTTTCGCCTTTGTGAGGCATTCACAACGCTCATCTGTGTAATTAGGCAATTAGAATGAATAAAGGAGAATTAAACTTATAAATTCAAAAATTTCTTTCCCAACTTTATTTGCCATTCAGTTACAATTTTAGCTGACTTTTTTACCTACTAGTTTTCGAATTTTTTGTTTTTATTTTTCATTTATTTAGCAAAATTTCATGAAATAATCGCATCCATACTGCCGTATTTTGAGTAGATAATTTACATCTCACTCCGACTAGGGACCATTAGCAATACATTTTGATTTTGTTTTTTATTTTTATTTATCTCAAGAATTTTTCTCATATTTTCAAGATATTTAAAATGCTTTCTCTTCCAACTGAAGCAAAACTTGATGTATTAAAATGTCTTAATTTTAATCAATTAACTTCTTTTAAACTGACAAATTTCTTTTTTTACAATTTAATTAGAAAATATGAGGGAGAATTGTGTTTTCGAATGAAATTCCATAAAATCTCAATAGTAAATATTAATCTAATGACCAGATATTTTTTTAAATTTAATTTCAGAATGCTTATCTTCAAGAGATAAAATCATATAAAATCATTGAATCTGAACCTGTTATTCAATATATTTTAAATAATCGACTTGAGGAAAAGGTTTTAAATTAAATTTTAGAGTGTAATACTTACATCCAAATATCCCGTTAATTTTAACCACAAGTCATAACTTGTGATAAAAGTTATGATTTGCGGATAAAAAATTATTTGCCAATCAAATTAACTTGGAGAAAAAATTAGAATAAAGTTTATTTAGAATAAAACAGACGAACTTTTGGGTTCAAAGACACGATGAATTTTAATTTAATTAAATTATAATTATCTTTTTAGTGGCAGAATAGTATATACAGACAAGTTCCGTTATTTTTATATAATTTTCAACACTTTTCTTTATATCGTGGAAAGTATTTTGTTTATATTAAAAGAACCTTTGACTATTTATTGGACAACGAACCTAATTATTATATTTTAAAATTGCCACACTTTCCAAAAAATCTTGAAGAAATGGTTATTGTTCGTTATTGTTTGGTACAACTTTTTAATTGTGCTTTTGAATCTGCTTCCTTTAATCAAGTTGTTTTTAATTCAGAACTGATTAATATTTTATTTGATAACGACAAAACAATTCCTCTTCAAATTCACATTCAAAAACTAAATTTAATGCCTAACGATGCTTCCTTTGAAAATATTTGGAACTTCGTTTTAAATCATACAAAAATTTATGAATGTCTTATCATCAGTTCGCGAGAAATTTATTTCACTCACACAGAAAGAAAATTATTAAATATTTTAACAAATGAAGGCAATAAATTACCGAAAATTATTTTAAGCAATTTTAGTGTGCAAAGGTTTTATGATTCTATTGTTGAAGTAAGTTATCTATTGAAAGTTTTCTTTTTGTTTTCTCTTTCTATTTTTTTCCAAAATTCCCTTTTACATTTTAATTTTATTTTTATCAATAAAAATTAAATAAAATTTAGTATATAACGACATTCAAAGACTGTTCAAAAATAGTGGCTGTCATTATTTTTAATTTATCTAACGCCGCAAGACCGAAATTAAGTGAGAGAGCAGAAGCATTTGAACATGAACAATTAAATGGAGTTAAATACACAAAATACCAAATTGCCAATATTCACAATCCAAAAATTAAATTCTCATTTTGCAATGAAGAAAGAAATAATGGAATGATTGTGTATGTAAAAATTAGAAAAATGAAGGAGTAAAAATTTGGAGAAGAAAATAAGTTCTTGATTTATTGGAGATATAAATATTAAAAAAATTCTTTTTTCTTTGACTTTTTCACTTAAATAATTTTTTATTAAATTTATTTTCGTTACATTATTAACAGGTTAATCCTGTCCATCTATTTCTTAAATATTTTTTGTACATTTTACTAAATACAGCTTTTATCATTTTTCAGTTAATTCCTAGTGCTTATATAAATTTTCAAAAAATGTTTTTCTTTACCAACAGAAACGAAACTTGATATTTTTAAATGTTTAGGAATTAAAAAAATATTTTTGTAGTCGATGGACTCATAAATACATATTGACATCAACTTCTTTTGTAGAATTATTTATAAGACCTAAATTTTTTATCTACCCAATTTTTATTTAATAATTTTTCGATAAGATTATTATTTTTATTTAACATAAATAATCTTTAGTTTACGGCACTGAATATTTTCTACAACCACCAAGAATTATTAAAAGCAAAGAAGACATCAAAATTGCTTATTATTATTTAAATAAATTATTTAAACGTTATTTTCAACATGGCTGGTTTAACGAATTTATATTCAATCCAGAATTACTTCAGTTATTATTTGGAAATTCTAAACAATTTTATGCTCAACATTACAGTTTATCTTTTACGGATCACAATCTTGCAAATATATTTAAATTTGCTTCGAACCATTTACTTGGTGGAACTGTTACAATTTATTTTCGTTTGTCTAAAGACATGAAAAAATCTAAAGATGTTTCATTTAAAATTTTAACAAATGGAGGAGACAATTTTGAAAGAGTTTATGTAATGTTTGATTGTTCTCAAGAAGGTATAGAACAATATATAAATGTACAAATGATTTATGATTATATTGTTGAGGTAACTTATACACGGAAAATTTAAAAATAAATTTAAATTTTTAGTATATAGCTACTTCTGGAGATTGTTCAAAAATGGCGTCTTTTATTTCCTTAAACTATAATTTAATTTACCCATCACCTAAAATAAGCGAGAGAGCAACAAATGTTCAAATTAAACAATTTGGGAATTCAACAACTACAACATATGAAATTGCCAATATTCACAATCCAAAAGTTAGATTCTCCTTTTGCCATAAATACTTTTATGTTGACATCAAAAAGATGGAGTAGAAGAATTTTCGTTATGGATACAATGAATAATTTTGATTTATTGAAGAAATAAATATTTTTAAAAATTTCCTTTTCTTTGCCTATTTCATTTAATTTTTGTGTTTAATAAAATTTATTTGCATCAGATAAGGTTTCGTTACATCAGATAAGGTTTCGTTTATACCTTTGATAAGGTTTCGTTACAAGACCCATACCATTCGATTCGTCTCGACGAGCTTAGTCGTACGGTACCACTTTTTTCCTCAGAGGTACTGTTCGATTTTTCCATATTTAAAAATTTGTTGTAGAAAAGTTTAAATTATGCAATTAAATGGGAAATTCAAAACAAATTTATACCCAAAAATCCTATTATTCTATTAATGTGAATAACAATACTGAAAAACTTCATAACCTTTAAACCTTCATTATCTTATAAAATCATTAGGACTCATCTGAGTTATACATATATTTTTCTCGAACGGAGTTTTGGTAAAACAGAATTTTGTCCGTTGGAGCTTGGAATTTAAAAAATATCGGTTCTAAACTTTCATTAAACTTTCAAAAATGATAAATAGTAAAAATTTTTATCAAGAGTTAAATTAATATAAATTCAAATCAACGTGATTTGTACTTTTAAAATAAATTTATCAATCGATTCTTTCAATTACACTATAATAAGAATCGTTTCCTTCAATAAAAATATAAAACTTCATTTCTGGATTAAAAATGTTGGAAAGTCGGTATTTTGTTATCAAATAATTATATTCATCACGTTCCTCTTCAATTTTTTCAGCTTTTTCATTTAAATCAGTAAAATTAATACGCAGACCATTCAAGACAATATTAGCCACTATTTTTGAGCAATCTGTAGTCGTTTTAATAAGCTAAAATTGGAAGAATAAAATTTTTAATTTAAAGATTAAAGCCTTTTTGCTAATAAAAATATATAAAACCAAAATGTATCAAACATTGAGGGGCCCTACCAAATTTTTAAATGTGAAAAAAATAAAAACCGGAAGCGGAAGGGCCAAAATTTTCCGAAAAACGGTTGTTGACCTTTAATTTTTTTCAGTCAAAAATAAGCTTGAAAAGTGTCAATACTTTTAATAATATTGAAAACCGGAAGCAGACTTAAAGAAAAAAGTCCTCGGAAAAAAACTTAAAGAAAAAAACTGTCTTAGCCAAATTGTAAAACAAAGTCTTAACTTTGTTTTAAAACCAAATTTTTTGATTTTTTAAATGTTTAAAAAGTTTTATATGGCCGAATAACCCAACTTTAAAACGGAAAAATAAGGCGTAAAACTTATTTTAAAAAATATATTTTAGCTTAAAATGTCATTAAATGTTAAATAGGAAAGATATTATTGTGATTTTAATTTTATATAATTCATTTTCACCGAAAGGTTTCGAACCTCTTGCATTTTTCGCTGTCACGTAACCAACTACGTTGGTTGCACCCTCTGCCTATTTTAAGTTGCTGTGTTTGACAGTTAGTTGCTACAAAGCAAAACTTGCTGCAAGCAAAACAACCAAAACATTTAAAAAGAAACATTAAAAAAGAAAGGAAAAGTCCGCAAAAAAAGTCCGCAGAAATAGCACCCACATCTTAAGTAGTGCCAAATAATTATTTTATAATGTTGATTAATCGGTCTTACTTTGGTGCACAAAACTTACATTTATAATAAAATCGAAAAGTTCTGGCATTTTATCAAACAATAAATTGACTCCCTTAAATTTGTCTCCATTCGTTAAAATTTTGGATAAAATATTTTTATATTCTTCTGTATTGTTCATATGTTGAAAATTAATTTTAACATCGTTGCTGATTAAATGATTTGAAACAAATTTTAATAAATTTTCAGTGTTGTAAGCCTTACAAAACCATTTAATAAAAAATTTTTTAGTGGTTCTTCCAAATAATAATTGAATTAATTCCGGATTGAATATAAATTCATAAAAGTGTCCATTTTCAAAATAACAATTAAATAATTTATTTAAATAATAATGAACAATTTTGATGTCATTTTTGCTTTTAATAATTGTTGGTAGTTGTATTAGGGTGTAACATAAACAATTAGCCCCCTTGTGGTAAGAGGATTAAATAATTATTAAAATTCAACTAAATGTTTTCAGACTTCAAATAATATTTTTCTATGATCCTATAAGAGTTGCCTATTTTCTGGCAAAAAATTAGAATTCTAGGTTTAGGTTGGCCGGAGTTAGAGGTGAAATACTAAAGCTTGTATTTTTGAAACAAGGCAACTTCTTTTTGATTTTCCTCTGCAAAATTGATGAGCAAGAATGAAAATTTAAATAGATACTGATAGAGCAGAATCTGATGAATACAATGATATAAGAAATTCCCCTGGAAAACAACTGGCTGATTTTTTAGAGGGTCGCATTTGTGAAATAGGGGCTAGCATTATGCTGTTTTAGGATAACTCTCGCACGAAAATGTCTAGCGAGGCCGGGCGACCAGATTTTTCGATGGACTTGATCTATATGGGAATAATACAATTTGGGGGTAATAGTTTAGCCAGTTTAAACTAAATTCCAACGATTACCCCGCCGCGACACAACCAAATACATAACAGATCACGCTGTTGGACCAGTCTGGTTTAGAGGTCGAAACTGATGGTTAGCTGGGATGAGCCGTTCCTTTTTATTTACAGAATTCATGAAGACAACCCACTCTACCTTATAGGCTAAAATTTGTTTCAAATAAGGAGCTTCATTGTGGCATTTAAGGGATTGTTTTGCAAAAGTGACTTAGCGATTTTTTTGATTTTGCGGTAATTCATGGGGTATCAATCGACCCTTCATAACTTCTTTCCCGCTTCAAGTAAAATTACGGTAATTTTTGTAAGTGAGCAGGTGAGTGCCTGCCCCAATATACACACTTTATTTTTTGGACTGGCTTTAATTCAGGGGAGAACGGGATTCTTATCTATTGTTGGGTGGGATCCAAGACGTTATTTGTCTTTCAGCTCCTCCCTACCTTTCTTTTATTTGGAGAGCCAACTTTTTTCTGTGGAATATGAGATAACATCCCCATACTTCGATTTGCATATTTTGCGCCATGATTCCTTTTTCGAATGTCCAAGTTCAATCTCATATTTGAACTGGACACCGATTTTATAATTTTGCATTAAATTTTAAAAATTCATAAAAAATTTTTAAGTAAAGAAAAAATTTCAAATCTTTAAGAAAATGAAGAAGGCAGCATTCTGAATATATGTCAAAAAAATTAAATAGATTGGAGAACTGAACATTGAGATATAAGTTCTCAAACTTACATGGTTTAAGGGGGGCTAATTATTTATGTTACACCCTAATAGTATAATGTAGCGATTTTTATCGTTGCAAAGTAAAAAGTTTCGGCTCTACTCCAGTTTATCCGTCCAATGACAGTTTATACGTCCAATCAGAAAACAATTGGATTTTTCTTAGTATTGCAAAGTTGGGGTATGGTTCTAAAACATTTATTAATGTTTAGACCTACGCCCACTAGGTCTGGGACCATTCCTCACCTATCCCACGAAATTTCGGAAAGTTATAGCCAATTTTTAAAAATTACGGGAAAACAATTATAACTTTCCGAAATTTCGAGGGATAGGGTGATGAAGAGTATTTATCTGATGATTTGGATGATGAAAATAATGAATAAATTATTTTTACACGTATTTTTTGACGTAAAATAAAATTTTCTGTTAGTCTCGGTCAGTATCGTTTCTCGGTATCGGTCTCGGCTCAAAATGATGGTATCGGTCTCGGTATCGGGTTCTTGAGTATCGGTTAATCTCGGTCTCGGGTTGGCCGATACCAATATCGTTTTGCCCAACTCTAGGAAAAAGTATCACTTAACTTTTTGAAAAGCATCCAATGAAAAAATAGTTTACCTTTAGTTAAACAAATGATAGCATTTGAACCTATTAATTTACCATCAGCCAAATATAAACGAATCGGATCTTGCAGCCCATTGCTCCACTAAAAGGGAAAAGAAATTTTGACCTTAATATTTTCATTTAACCTTTTCTTCAATTTGTTCATTTACTTCTTTATGTTGCTCAGCAAAAAAGGCAAAGTCAAAATTTTCAGATTTAATTAATTTATAAGGAACTTTTTTGAATTGACCTTCAAATTTATTAATAAAATCACAAAAATATAAATTAGTTTGTCTGATTGAACATAATTCTTCATAACTGAGGAATTTAAAAATATGTAGCTGAACTTCAACTGGTAGAGAAAGCATTTTCAAAATTTAATAAAAAACCTAAGATTACTGAAAAATAAGGTAATTTTCAATTTCGTTCCCCCCTCCTTTTTTCTTGCTCAAATTATGAAAAAATGGTCAGACTTTTCTTTTTTCCTCAATTACACTCTTCTTCCCCATGGCATACAATCAGTCAAAAAGGATTAATTTTTACTTGCCTAAGCGATAAGCCCACAAAAAAGAAAGATAAAAGATTTGTTTTGTTGTTAAGCAGAGGTGTTTCGAAAAAAAAATCCTCGAAAATCGGAAATCGAAAATAAATTTCAAAATCTTCGAAATCGAAAATCGAAAGAAAAATAACCTCGAAAATCGAAAAACGAAAATCGAAAAAAATTTTTAATAAAAAATTTGAAAATTAATTTTAGTTATGTTAGGTCTCAAGTGGATCTCTCATCATGAGATCTGTGTGGATTAAGAGGGATAATGGAGGATTTGAGTAAAATCCCCTAATATAGTAAAGCAGAGCTAGGTCGCTTTACTGATGGTCGGGAGGTACCTGGCATAGGGTTTTGGCATGGGGAAGGGGGCTTCCAAATCCATCTTAATTCACGCAAATCCTCCAATATACTAGAGCTACCTTAATTCAAGCATATACCCAATAACCGGAGCCGAAGCATAATATTGTTAAAAGATCAGGGCTTCCTCCAATTAGCGCCGCAGGCGAAAATTTTGAGAATTTTGGCTCATCCTTAAGCCAAAAATTTTCTTTTTTCTGCGCCGCAGGCGAAAATTTTTTAAATTTATGATG